TATTCTATCTTAATTGATGGCAAATCGATTTTTAGGCAAATTTGTTCAATCTACTTTTAATACATCACCCAGAATTATCTCTTTAATATAAACTCAGATCCTTTTAATCTTATTATTTCTATTTTTCCAGAAATGCTATACTACTAGATGTTCCTTAAATACATAAGACAGACACTCATCTTAATGCCTTTGCACTAGCTTTTCCCCCAGATACCCATTTCATCTCCTTCCTAATGAGGACTATACTGATTAGTGTATTTAAAATTGTCTTCACCCTCCACACCAGTACTCTTGAACCTCCATAGTTTGTTTGTTTCTTATCTTCTTACATCTTTTAAATTTAGTTATTTATTGTCTACATATGTCTCTACACAGAGATATAATCTTATAATCTCTACACAGAGATATAAACATTTTTTGTTTTGTTTTTCATTTGTTTGTTTCTGCGATGCATCTTTGGGATCTAGCACAGAGAAAGAACTTAATAAATATTTGTTAAATAAATAAATAAGTTACTTTAAATATATAAGCAAGAAGGAAGGACATTCTAGACTATAATCTCCTTTTAAAATCCTAGACACACAGACATAGATAGGTGACATACATATTTAATTATGGGAAAATCAGTCTCTGTTCAACAAACAACCAAAAAGCCCTAAAACTGCAGAAAGGCTTTTGAATGAATTCAAAATTATCTCAGGTAAAAACTATTAAACATAGCATATAAAAGTAAAATAGTATGAAAATCAGGAATAAAATGCTCAATGAGTTAAGAATGGTACCAGAGCCATCTATTGAGATTGTTATTTTCTGTGCAATAAAAATTGAGGAAAATTTAAAAAAGCATTTATTGCCACTGCAGAAATAAAAATTATCCTGTATTCATCTCAAAAGAATTATGGATCCCAGCCTGTGTGGCTCAGTGCTTGAGTATTACCCTATGAACCAGGAGGACAAGGGTCAGGGCACATGCCCAGGCTATAAGCTCAAACCCTAATGGGAGCTTACAGGAGGCAGCCAACCAATGATTCTCTCTCATCATTGATGTTTCTAACTCTCTCTTTTTTCTTTCCTCTCTGCAACCAATAAAAATATTTTAAATGAACTATGAAAATAATAAAGTTTAGAGAAATTCAAAGTTACACAGTTCTAGGGTATCCATGAGCCAATCAATTTGTCTGTGGATTCTCTGGCTCTCTTGTTCCTTATTCTCACGTTTAATGCTGATAATTTGACCATTGAACCATCTATTGGCAACTCTCACAAGAGATCAAACCAGAGTAACAAAATGAAACACAAATTAAAGCAGCCAGGAGACTATGTTGGGATCTTGGTCTGGACATCAAAAAAATATATATATGCTTAGCATTTAAAAGTATTCACTAAATGGAGTACTTGGAAACCAGTTGCTAACATTGGTTAACCCAATGTAATTGAGTTGAATAGAATAAAAAGAATTCACAATATATCTAAATATGCAAAAGAAGAAAAACAAATGGGAGAGTAGGAGGGTGGAGAGATACAAGTCTCTGCTACAGAAATTATCTACTGGAAGAAATTTAACATTATAGAAGTGTATCTAATATAAGCAAGAATTAGGGCCAAATCAGATTCTACCACATACTAGTAGTGGAAACTGGGTCAAAACACATAACTCATAATCTACTTTCTTATTGTTACAATAATAATATAAATCAACTTTCTAATAAAGTTTTTATAATAAATTATGTATGTCCTTCAAATTTCAGTTTCTATCACATGTGATCAGCCTATCTGGTCAAGGGTTGACAGTCATCTCATTTAAAGCCACATCTTTTCTTTCAATTTTACAAAGATAAAGCCCTAAAAAAATATCTAGAGTAATTAATATATGGCTAAAACTATCATGGGAATATAAAAAGATAGATTAAAAAATGCAACTGGAGTTTGTTTTAAACCAAAGCCAGCTTATTGGTAAAAATATGTTTTCCTTCAATTGTACAGAAAAATATTATAAAACCCCTAATTAAAAATCATCGCAAGACATCTCTTGGAGAAGATTTTCTTCCTTCTGTATAGACTAAAGTAAAAAACAATGCTTTGTCCTTTGTAAACATAGTTGAATGTAAGCACTATGAGAAGGCAGATCTTTGTTTCATTCATTACTAACTCCCTTAAATAGCACAAGACTTTTAATAGGCAATTAAGAAATAGTTTTTAATGAGTACAGTATGCACAGATTGTGGTGCACTTGGCACAGGGGTGGGTTCCATCTGCCTCTGCAGGTGACCATTTACAATTAAAAAATAGTAAAGCCTGAATTTCATTAGCATCTAGATAAAATGCACTTTGGCCATTACTATAGTTTCTAAACCATCATTTATAAACTCCTAGACTTCTGTGGAAGAACTGTGTAGTCCATATGTAATATGTATTGGCATATGTACAAAGACAAAATGTCTAATATTTTCTTGATTCGGGATAATATAAAGTCTTGAAATGAGCAGAATATATACCCTTCATGATAAAGAAGAAAAAATAGTTAAAAGTCATCTTTTGGGGAAAGTACGTATTCCTCTGCTTAAAAGTCAAAGTCCTAAACTTTAGCTTTGTTTATTTTAAAAAGACTGTAAAAATTAAAATTAAATTCATTTTATTTATATGTTGATATGATATGCAGTCAGCTATGAGAAGAATTTATTTAATAGTAATAGGATATAATAAATGCCAAAGTAAAATAATTTTTTAGAATGCTTACTACATAAACACAAAAGATGTGGACTATAAACCACACAGATTAAAGTAGGGATCTATAGATTTTTGCCCCGAAGCTAATAAAAAGTTAGTTCAAAATTTGCCAAAGTAATTAGCACAACTTCTTTGCCAACTCTCTCATAAAGTAGATAGATCGAGCAATCCAAAGAACAATAAAAAAGAATTTTCTAATGAATCCATTCCCCTCTGAAATTGTACTAGGAGAAAGGTCACTTTCTCATTTACTAGCTTATCTTTTGGTACCCCTTATCATTTTGTATTGTTAATATTTTGTATTATGCTCTATTTATTCAATCATCAATAACATCTTTATTCATGACTCTGTGAATCAACATCTATGTGATAAGAAGTGAAAGTCACTTAGCTAATTAATAAGCAGCATAATCATAACTACTGCAGTATTATACATTAGTTAAAGAGATGTAAATTATTGCAGTGTTTATCATTTGAGGAAAAAAACAGACTTTGTTTCGGTTGTTTTGAAACACCCTTCTTTGTTGCCCCCATATCCTCCTTCTTAAGTATACTCCAAAACATCATATCCATAATAAAATAAAGGTTGAGTTCCATTCTACTAGTATGACCAAAGATATAAGAGCAAGAACAAAACCAAACCAAATGCAGTTCAACACAAATACTTCTGATCTGAAGTCAAGAATTTTGTTACATAAAGCTTCTTCCATTTAAGTAATCCCAGTAAAATAGAACCTGTAGTCATTCCCCACCCCACAGGGGTTTTGTAATAAAATCTGACTTGGCCCAGCCAGGAGACTGGAAGTGCATAGAGAGATAGAATGTACATCACTTGAATATTAATATGACTTCTGTATGAAGATTGAAATTCTACAAAGTTATGAATAGGGTAAAAAAAAACAACTTAGATGATTTACTGCCATAGAAATTCATACTCTCCTATGAGTGATTTACTGGATGTTATATAAAAATACAGTGTGGACAAGATACATTCAGATGCAAGCTTGCAGCTGTCAGTGTCTACATTTGCTCAATCTGGCTAGAGGATGATTTGAAGGTTGATTTAATTGTAGCTTCTGAATCATGTTCTTCCCTATGTTTTAAAATGTTTAACATAAATATAAAAATGTTAAAGTAATTTTGAGTCTGTAAATATTTAGTATAAAAATCTGCAAAATCTCATTCTCTTTTGGAAGAGTAACTGAAAATGAAAAGACTGTCTTGGGGAAAAATGCATTACCTAATAATAATAATTTCCCTGTGGTTATATCAAATTTACCCTTACATGAGAAAGTTCATATGGTGTTCGGAAGGAGCTGAGAATAAATAAACAAAACACTACGTCTGTGACTGAATGTATCAATGTTATGAGGAAGAGAAATCTCTATCTGTAAGACAGGGCTCAGAGAACAAAAGTTGACCAGTTAGGAAGGAAGCATTGCTCGGGCTCCTTGCAAGCAATGTGATAGCCCAAGTATCCTTTCCTCAATACACCAACTCAAAGCAGAGATTCAACTCCTGTACATGCTACCAGCACCTGTGGATGCTACCAGCACCAGAACACACCACCAATGAGCTTTGTAAATGTTATCCACTCAGCTAGAACGTTCCTTAACCATCTTTCTATTCTTTGACAGGCTTCATTAAATTCCACATATCGCCTAACCGTTCACTTTCCAACATCAGCAAATCATCCTTAGGGAGCATGTCTTGTTCTTCCTCTGCAAGCTTTTTCCCCATGTTTTATTTCCACTTTTATACATACCTCCTTTTCTACATATTTTCTTGCCGGGTTTTCTGGCACATTCCTTGGATATTCTTTTTACTGAAAAATGAATAGAAGACTAGAAAATAACATGGCGCTCCATCACAGACCGCCGTAACATGCAACACCACTATCTAACTTGATATAATCCTGTTTTTTACTGAGTGCGAAAAATCCCCAATTCGTTGAGCCTGCACATGCAATGGAGAAAGGTTGATGCATCTTCTCAGAAGTCATTCGGTAGGAAATGGAAATTAGAAACCCATTTCTACCTAAAGATACGTGCTGTGGAGGAAAGAAAATGAATAGGCATAGGGGAAAAAAATAACAGGTACACTGACACACATAAACAAAAAGAGCAGCATGCACGCATGTAAAATATGTCTACATGCCCACAGGAAAAGCCATGCATGCTACCAGTACACATGAATTTATATTGTTAAAACTTAGAGTAGAAAAGAAAAAAATATAAATAGAAATCTCCCTGTTTTTCCTGCAGTAAACTCACCATCCTCAGTTGGGACATATATGTTTAAATACAGGCAGTCTTCACTCTGGTCTTGTACATATGATGAAACCACATCCAAGTTATTCGTAAACCACACAGGAAGCATGACTTCTGGCAATCGGCCATCGATGATATTCTGGGGACACACAGGAGCAAACTGAGTGGCATTCCTGGTATCTGACCAGGGAGATGGTGGCTCTGGAGGCTGAAAACGATGCTCCCCTGTTGGCGGTGCTGCATATGGAACCCCAAGAAACTGAATAACAGGCCCCAAGATTTCATTATTGAGTTCTTTCTTAACCCCTCTTATCTTGCCGAAGTTGGTAGTCACCAGTGGATCTGCATCATCCAGTTTTTGGGAGAGTACATGGGCAGCCTGAAGCAAACATGCCAACACACAGAGAGTCAAAGAGGCACCCAGCCCCCTGTGTAACAGGCATGCCATCACTGCTCTCCAAACATAGTTTGGCCACATACATCTGGGCAGTGCCATGGTCCCACATCGGTTGTCTAGTTGTCCGGTTTCAGTGAGGCCAAAGTATCTGTATCCACTTGAGAAATACCTTATAAGGGTAGAATACACCTCCTATTTCTTAAAGGTGAACTTGTTGAGAACAGCTCAGAAAGCTCTTCCTGCAGCTAGCATCTCCCATCGACATCACATGCACTGAAGTGGCATCTTCAGTCATCACCATTTTTCAGGCCAAATCCTATTGACCACTCTGTTTTCCATCGTAGCTACGTGGGGAGAGAGGCCATTGACTGTAGATTCCCTCTTATAAATCAAATCCACTTAGCTGCAGGTCTCTATCCTAGAGAAAATGAAAATAAATCATTAGCACAAACAAGCTAAAATGGGCAGAGTGACAACTAGATGTTTTACAAGCTCCAGGAAGCATTAATAGTGGCTAGAGCCAAGTAAGTCAAATATTACCATAGGAAAATTTCGGTTTGACATGACATGACAAGTGAAATACCTATTAGATTGAGAGACTTGCCTGCCAACTTTAGACACTTTTAAGTGGAAGCAGGCTTTGTCAAAACATACAGTTTCAAGAGCATTTCACAGGGCAGTATTTTTCAAGTAAAAATGATGTGTGAAATTTCCCCATTATTGATAGTCTTCAATCACTTCAAGAAACAACACAATTAATCAGCAAATATGCTCAAAATTAGAACTCAGTAACAGAAAACCTTATTGAAAAAAATAAATATTGATAGAGAATAAGTAGAACATAAACAAAATCTGCTAGAATAATTGCATATATTAAAGAACAAACAAAAAGTGGTTCCCAATCTATGCTATGGGGGAAACACACAAAGCTAATGTTATAACAAGAAAACTACTATGAGTTGAAGTATAATTATTTAAGTACAACTACCTAAGAACATAAACCTCTTGGCTGTTTAGCAAAAGCCTGCATAAAATAATTAACTACAAAGAGAAACAGAGTTGGCATCATTTTTTTTTTTTACAGACAGTTTTCTTACCATCTAGCTATACAGTGTAAATATCAGTAAACTTGCAAGGTGAAAATTAATTTCTGAGTCAAAGCGGATCTATTTTAAATTACAAATTTTGTTATCACTATCCTTTAGAAATCAAAGAAAGAATTAAAAAAGAAAAGACTGTTTCGGAGTTTAAAAGAACAATCATCTCTAATTATTGCATCTCACATGTGAACACTAATCAAACATCTAACACTGTCTACCCCGGTTCAGCTTAAAATGCATCCGAATAAAATGTAACATTCCATGCAGTGCCATTCACCGTGTCATCTCACATTCACTGCAAAAGAGCATACAACTTGGCAAATCTGTCTTTTCTTATGCAAGCCACCTTTGAAAGAGCTTACTTTGAAAATAATAGTGTTGATATGTATGACAGAGGCTTCTGGCACGTTATGAGAGGATTCTTGAAAAAGTGCTGCTCTAGCAGGGAGGCTGCCCTGACTGCTATGGAAAAGGAGATTGCAAAAACCATAGAGGTCAGCAAGAGATTTGGTTCAGGCCTTGGGTTCCTTTAGCGCATCAAAGAAGGCAATAAGGAGATAAATGTCTTTCTTCAAAAATACTCCAGTCCCTGTTAATTCACATACCTCTGCTGTGAAAGCGCATTAACATACAAAAGACGGGCTTAGACCCATCCCATTTCCGTCCCAGTACTTTAGCATGTATGGAAGACTTAGCTGAACAAACTCATGTCTGTTTGGAGTATATTATGCTTATTCTTGTGCGGAATCCGGGTGGGCCACAGCATGGCTGTCTTTCCTAGTAACATGTCGGTGTTAAAAAGCAACCTTTTATCCCTAAAATAAAGAACCTGTGGTTAGGCTTTAAAAGTCACTGTCACTATTTTCTGTTCAGTCTAATTTTCAAGTCCAACCATTCCCAAGAGTTCTTCTTTGCACACACTTAGTATTTCATTAACAATACAAAGTATTTGTTTGGTTATTAACAAAATAACAGGCCCAGCTGGTGTAGCTCAGTAGTTTAGCATTGACCTATGAACCAAGAGGTCACGGTTCCATTCCCAGTCAGAAACATGCCACTTGGATTTCAGGCTCAGCCTCCTATTGGGGGCATGCAGGAGGCAGTCTATCATCATTGATGTTTCTATCTCTCCCTCTCCGTTCCTCTCTGAAGTCAATAAACTATATTTTGAAATATTATTTAAAAAATAAACAAATAACACTTCTTTTTGTATTTATAAATCCTTAAATGTGTTCAAATAAAGGGGCTCCTGTTTCCCACTGATGTTCTACTTAACCTAAACTGTGAAGGATTCAAATTCTGCACATGATGGTAAATTTTCAAATTCTAATAATGCTTAGCTTCTGAGGTTACAAAATTACCCCATTTCTCATGAATTCAATGTATGGAGAACTAGAGTGTTGACTCCAAAGATTTTTTAAAAGTTGCTATTATATTAGCAATCACCCAAGTGTAATGTGAAAATATGGCTGGTTTGAAAACTAAAGTTAAAATATAGATAGATAGATATAGATATAGATATTTCCCTATTTATTAGTTCTCCTTTAGTATATGTCAAACCCTTAACTTTTATGTGTTTACAACTCATTTACAACAATCCTATAATGTGGTTCAACAATCATCCTCTTTTTACTCCTGAGAAACTGAGAGTTTAATAGGTTAAATACCTTGGCCAAAGTTTCTCAACTGATTAGCTGATCAATAGCAGATTCTGGAAACCAGTCTGATTGAAAGGCCATTCTCTTGATCATTGTACATGATATAGTCTTTCATTCCACAATTAGCACTTTAAAAAATTGATCCTAGTACATTTAAAATTGAATTGTAAGAGTATTTATGTTCCTTAGATAGTCTAGGTAAAAACTCTGACAATGTTATAGAAACAGAGAAATGTAAATACTATGCCCTGTTCTTATTGAAAGTTTATATTTTATTGTTACATTTTTTTACCTTTTTACTTTTACATTGAAAACCACGATAGGTTGTTCATGTTAAAATAATGAGTAACCAAAAAAAATCCTAAATTCAAATAGCCTAAATGTCTACTAATAGATATTCATAAATGAATTATGATAGATTCATAAATTGAAATTCTGTATTTCAGGAAAAGTAAAGGACTTCAACTAAGTATATCAACATAAATAAATATCAAGAATTTTAATAAAGTAAGTTGCAGAAGATTAGGAGAGTAAAATGCTATTAAATAAATAAAGCTTAAAATAAGTAAAATAATGTCATATGTTATTCATGTATACATAAATACGTATTAACAAAACATGTGTCATCCCTGAGTAAAAAGAAAAGAGAATGAAATTACTTCTAGTTATTAATTAATTAATTCACATAATTAATTAATTGGCACCTACGATGGATAACCTGTTGTGAAGCCTTAAAAAAACAGCAATTAATTAAGTTTTACATATCTTAGCATTTGATAGTGGTAGGTGATAATACACTCACACACACACACATACACACATATACACACACCTTTGTTAGGGGATTTTCTGTATTTTCCTGTATGTTTGAAATATTTTATAATAAATATATTAAAATGAGATCAGGAAAGCTTTACTCAGCAGAGAAGGCAAGTAGTTGAGCTTTTCAATCCATACAGGACTCACTTCATCTGGCTTTGAAGTTAGTGGAGATACTAGCTCACAAATTCCTCCATTGTTTCTCCCTTGGGGTTAAAGCTTGTGTTATTGTGCTGAGAGAAATAATATTAAAAGTGAATAAAACTTAAAGAGACATAAATGGTGATATATTATGTCACCTTCACTGATTTATCAAAATAATTGGTTTATCCACTAGCTTGTGCCGAGTGACCCAGACCAAAGGGATAATTACAGAGAGAGCAGAGAGAAGTACAATCCAGTCATTGCTCCCAAACAGCTATAATATTGTAAATAAACTAGGAGCCCAGCGCACGATTCAAAATCACACGGTGCCACTCACCCTCAAGTTTCCAGTCCTTCCAGTCTGGCCCTGTATTGCTCTCCGGCCCTTGAAGCAGCTATAGCTGCTGCTAATCAGGCCCTCCTCCAGCGCAGGCACATGAAGACCCCAGCCTCACTGTCCCTGATGCTGTGTGCGCAATCTCCTCCTGTCCAGTCAACCCATTACAACGTGCCAGTTAATTAGCATATTTCTCTGTTTTTTGGATATAGCTAAATAGATAGATAGATGATAGATAGATAAACCACATAAAAATAAGTCACATAAATAAATCACATAAAAAATGGCTCTAACGCAGGTTAGAAGGTGACATGTTCAATCAATACATGACGAGTGGGAGGTAGGATCCAGCAGGAAGCCTCTGACTGCTAACAATTACATAACTTTTTGTGTTTTATCTCACCTGTTTTCTCCTACCTTGCTTTGTTTTTGTTTTATTATTGAACTTATCCCCCATCCCCACCCCACTGAATTTCTTATATAAGGGTAAGGAGTTTGTGTTGTTGTGTGTGTGTGTTTTTTTAAATAATATCTTTATATTCATCATAAAATCTATATGAAAATCCTTTACATAGTATAGGCCTCAGTAAATTTCAGCTGATCTGGGTTGAAGGCATGCTTATCACTGAGCAATGTAGAGTCTGGCCAATTCTGTTGATGCATTATTGACTGTAGTAATGTTCTACTGAGTCATTGCAAACATTGAATTAGGGAACACAGGTCCATTTCCCCTAGGTAAATACACACACACACACACACACACACACACACACACACACACACACACAGTTATAACTTATAATCTTAAACCCTAAAAACAATTTATCTTAGTAGATTTTATTTTATTTATCTTATAAAAGAGACAATGAAGTTCTGATGTGTTAAGTGACTTGTCTGAGGCCACTAATAGGCCAGAGTTGGAACTCAAACTCCTCTAAACTTGTCAAGAGTTTGTAGGACAATCCTGCACGATCTCGCTTCCATTCCTGTCCTCTGTTCAGCTTTATCTGAGAGCTGAAACAAGCAGGCAAAGTATAACCT